GGCCGCCGGGCTCCACGGGGGGGATGGCCGCCCTCGTCCCCCTGTGTGGGCGCATGAGCCCGCGAGGGCCGCGGCTGCCGCAGGGCCGCTCCACATCCTGGCGCTGATTCAGAGCCCGTTGCCGAAAAGTGCTGAGTGTAGCACAGTCCTCCCTCCCACTTCCCCCTCCTTCGCGCGCCGCCGGTGCCAGCTCCTTTACGGCTTTGAGTTTTTTTTTCCCCAAAGTCACGTCCTGTTGCTGCGCTGCCGAGTTCACATCCCCAGCCCGTGCCTGCTGCTCGGCGCGCTGCTTGTTCGCGAGGTCTGGTGAGGATTGTGAAGGCGAAATTAAAATGGAAATGAGCCCGTTTGGGGATGGCAACTGCGAACAGGCGAGTTAGCGGCTTGGGCTCTGTTTGGAAAATGCACCTGCTGCAGGGATGCTGATTATATGTTCTGGAGCTCTGGCTTCCCAGGTGCCGAGGGGAGTTGTGGACTTGGATTACTTTGCCTGTGAATATCCCAAAGTGTTTGGCTCGCTCTCCTTCAAGCCGTTCCAACCCTCTTCACAGCGCGGTGCCAATCCCGTGCGTTGCCGAGCGGAGCTCTCTATAGATGCGAAACTTAATGGATAGACTTTAATCAAGCAGACTGGCCCGCGGCCAGGTAGCGGGGCGAGCAGGTGCCGAGCAGGGCAGCGCTGTCGCGGGGAGCTTTTCCCCCCGCCGCTTTGTTTGGGAGGCCGCATCTGCTCGGGAGAAGCTCGAGGAGAGCGCTTCCCCCCTCCTCCCCACAACATTTGAGGAGAAAACGGGCTCCGGGGCAGTGAGATGCCTGGTGTGTAAGAGCGTGTTCAGCGTCTCCACGAGCGGAGCAGCACGGGGGGCTCCAGACCGTGGCTGTAGGCAGAGGCCGTAATATAACCGGGCTGTACCCGATTATTAAAGCTACCTAGGGGAGCGCAAGGCTAGCGGGAGGAAAGCGCATACGTTAACGACACTTTTATCACACGATTAATGTTGATTCCCCAGCCCGTCGAGTGGAGCCGGGATGGGCAGGATCGCGGTGCGACTGTGGGGTCGCCGGCGTCGCCTCCGTTGCTCCCGTCGGCGGGGGCGCGCGGAACG